AGATTTCATTAAGTGTGTAGTAGGTATTTAATAGTACTGTTAACAGTTGATTTTGTAATAAATGTGAGGAAAATCATCATTAAATATCTGGAGGACCTAGAGCAATCACTTGACCTCTGCAAGGAACTCAGTTCCTTCAAAGGTCATTCTAAGAGGTTTAACTGGAAGATCACCAAGGTCCCTCCCACTCTGTAATTCTATCTGCCTGACAGTCGCACTGAATAACAATGGCTGGTGGGCAGCCCAGCAACACCCTTCCCCCAGAGATGGAGAGAGAAGAGCGTTCTGGGGTAAGGGGAAGGGCTCCAGCACCAGGACCCAGGGTTCAAATCCTTGCTGACCAGTTATGGGCAGGCTATCCACCACCTCTGAGCCTCAGTCTCCTCATATGTAAAAGAGTGAATACATAATAGGGTAGCCGTGGGATTTGAGTAGACTCCATATAAAGCGCTTAACACAATACCTGGTCCATCAATACGCGTTCAGTAAATATTTGCAGCCATTATTGTTGTTGCTGTTGTTAGTAAAAATACTATCATTATTGCTGTTATTACTAGGAGATTTTCATTCATTTTAATTCAGCTCGGGTATGAAAATCAACACTTGAGAACAGACCAGGAGACCTGCAGCCACTCCTTTCCTCCAAAGTACTTAGAAAGTGTGTAATGGGTAAAAGACAGGGACTGCAAGCAAAAAGTACAATGAAAAAATGTCCACAAAGATATATACTGGCAAAGTCAGCGCAACAGACAGAATGCGTGCCCCTCTGACCACCACATTCACACGCTGAACCCTTACCCCAGTGTGATGGCATTTGGGGTGGGGCCTTTGGGAGGTGATTAGGTCAGGAGGGTAGAGTCCCTATAAAAAGAGACCAAGGGGCTCCCTCACACCTTCTGTCATGTAAGGACACAGCTGGAAGACAGCCATCTATGAACCAGGAGCCTCACCAGACACCCAATCTGCCAGCACCTTGATCCTGGACTCCACCACATTCAGAACAGTGAGAAACAAATTTTTGTTATTTATAAGCTCCCCGGTCTACGGTATTCTGTTACAGCAGCATGAACAGGCAGCCAGGAAGAATGCCACCCACTCTGGGAACAGGACAGGGAGGAACAGGCCAGTTACAAGGATAACAGCTTGAGGATACTTGAGTAGCAGCTGTAATTTGCCTTCTCATACATGAAGCAGGCAGGACAGGTATTTTATGAGTATTTCAAAAACAAAGGAACTGGAGCTCAGAGAGACTAAGGACTTGTTCCAGGTCACACAGTCAACCACATGGCAGAGCAAGCCTTGAAAAAAAGTTATCTCTTGGCCCGTCTAGTGTTCTGGTCCCTATACTGCCATCTCAGGGGGAGATGATAGTGGCATGGCCCTAACAGAAAGTGCTGGACTCATCCCAGACCATCTGGGCAGTATAGTATCCAGGCATGGAGAGAGCAGATCGCGAGGAGAAGAGCCCTCCCTCCAGAGATGCCAGGCCTGTAGGGGAGCTGTACTAAGGGCCTCCCAACACCAGGGGGCGCTAGAACAATCACACACTGGCTCAGCCGTGAATAACTGCACTATGGTGCGTGGTCATCTAACTGCTTAGAAACTGCAGGTGGGCCAGATCTGGTCATTGTGAGCTGCAGCCAAAACGACCTTCCTTATAGTTCCCAAACCCCAAATGCCAAATGATGCTAGAAAAATGACAACTGAAAAGTGAGGGCATCAGGACAGATTCTAAATGGAGTTATGTATTTATCATGGACAATCCACATATCCCTGGGTATCTCCTGATGCCCACATCCCCTTGTAGAGCTGGGAAGAGCCTTCTACGAATCATCCAATGAAAATAAGCATCTCCTTAACCTTCTCAATCACACTTGGCAAGATTTACCTGAGCAGCTGTGCTACTTCCAGAATCCCCTCCTCTTGAATTGGTGCCTTTCTCCCTCCTCAGACACAAGATCTTCAAGGAAAGGTCAGTGGTTTCTACTTCCTACAGCTCACACCAAAGACTCAATTGCTATCGGTTGGTTGGCCAAGAACTGATCTGCAAAGCCCAGTACAAACACTTGCTGTGGCTACAGGTGTTGCTAAGCCCACATCCATCACTCAAACAACTGGTTCAAACACTCATTTCAAAGCAAAGAGTTCTAAGAACAACACCTTCCTAACTGAGGGTGTGTAACAAAGCCCGGTGGGGAGGGGACTGGACTCCACCACCTCCTGAGTAATCTTCATCTTTCAACCTTGGACCCTACCATCTTCACGTGAACTTTCACCTGATAGTGGTACTGGCATGGAATCTGCTCAAAAAGAAAAGAAAGTAAAGAATGAGGGCTAACCTGGAAGCCATGGCCTCTCGTTAGCATAAACCTGAGACAGTTCAAGCAAACCTTTAAAGAGTAAATAAGATGGTATTTGTGTAGCTGAATTTGGAGTTCCACTAGAAAACTGCCCTGTCTCCCCCAAACATAAACCCCCTCTCCACGCAAACCTCCATGATCTAAGTTCAAATGAGCACAGCCCCACGGCTGTAAAGCTGCCTTTTCTTTCCAAGTGAAGTGCTCTTAAAAAGACCCCACGCAAGTCCAAAAAAGACCTGGGGCAGAAAAAGAAAATTTACTTTTTTGAAACAAGGTTACCAAAGCACAAAATATATGAGTGACAATTAAAAAAAAAAACTAGCATCAAGTACTGGGTGGAATAATGGTTTTTTCTTTTCACATTAAGGAAGGATGACCAAATTGTTTCAGACGCTAACACTTCAAATCACTGATATAAGGAGGAAGTCGAAAGGCAAGGTATGAGAGCTCAGAATCAAGGTCAAGGGTGAAAGACACAGGAAAACCAATCTCAGTTTGAAAGGAAGAAACACAACCTAGTGACGAGGGCTGCCCAACAAGGAGGTGGGGGATCTTGACCAGGGTGTGCTACGGTGGGAAGGTACAAAGGCAATACGGGCAGCAAGCACAGGATGAGGGATCAGAATGAAGCTCCCGGTCTCCAGGCCTCTTCCTACCATAGGATTTCCTGGCAAAGAGCAACTAGCACATATCCACAGCATCATGTAAAAATTAAACACTTACGTTCATAGTAGCACTATTTACAACAGCCAAGACACGGAGGCAACCTAAGTGTCCATCGACAGATGACTGGATAAAGAAGATGTTGTGTATATATACAATGGAATACTACTCAGTCATAAAAAAAGAATAAAATAATGCCATTTGCAACAACATGAGTGGGCCTGGAAATTATTATACTAAGTGAAGTAAATCAGACTGTGAAAGACAAATATCACAGGATATCACTTATACATGGAATCTAAAAAATAATAAAAATGAACTTATTTACAAAACAGAAAGACTCACAGACATAGAATGCAAAAATGGGAAAGGGTGGGGGAGGGGTAAATTAGGAGTTTGGGATTTGCAGATACAAACTACTATACCCAAAATAGATCAAAACAATGTCCTACTGTATAACACAGGGAACTATATTCAATATCTTGTAATAATCTATAATGAAAAGAATATATATATAAATGTATAACTGAATCACTATGCTGTACCTCAGAAACTAACAACATTGTACATCAATACTTCAATAAATTTTTTTAATTAAATATTTTATTCAGGATACTAGTAAAGTTTCTTACCTCCTGAAGCTGAGATTCTTTCTTTTTGGAAGACAAATTCAAGTGCTTTTCTAGGATGCCACAATACTTCTCTGTCTCCTTGTCATACTTCTTTTTGGCTTCCTGGCAAAAAGAGGAGCAGAAAAGGGAAAAAGAATAAAATGTTGCAAGAACAACAGCAACCTTGGTCAAGCTCTTCCAGCTCACCCTTGCAGCTTCATCAACCCCTCAGACCCAGGAGAGCAGTGGACCAGCCAGTCCTACGCTTCAAATAACGCCCATGAAATCAAGCAACCACCATTCAACAGCCCAATGGTGTCCTGGTGTGTATCACAGAGTTGCCCCTACAATGCCAGAAATGAGGGAAATACCAGCATTTCATAGTGGCAAAGCCAGGACTCCACCTACTAAAAACTTCCACTGTGAAACCAAAATGTCTAATTTCTAACTCACAAGAATTTTCAAAGTCCAAGGAAGAAGGGAAGTTACCTGTGATGCTAATCCCCAAACAGGAAGATCTACTTACAGCTCAAATAGGACAAATCTAGACAAAGGGTAGATTCAGCTGCAACCATGTTCAAAAAGCACTTCTTAATCTGTAGAGCGAAATATCTTTGACACAAGAATATCACATATGGGTCTTTAAGCTGAGGAATATTGGAATATTCCAAAACAAAGAGGATATTATCTTTCCAAATACGTTCACTGAGGCATCATTTATAATAGGGGGGTAAAAAAAAAAAAAAGAAAGGAAGCAGCAGGAACACTGATGCCCAAGAATAAGTTTTGGGATAACTAAGCACAGGACACCCAATAAATATAACCAGCAAGACTAGGTGGTCATATGGAAAGATATGATATGATGAAAAGTAGTAATAGCAAGATATAAACTTGGTGCATCCTACCAAGACTGTGGCTACCTATGGACAACGATTAGATGGGAAGACAGTTGAATGAGAATACCTGAGTTAAAGAAATGGAATAATGGGGGATTTGTTCCCTCCATTTGAGAAATGCTCTATTATCCTCAACTACTGCTTTCAAAGTGAAAAATAATCTATCATATTACACTTCATAATCCCTGCTCCCCGACCAAGCCACTGAGCTCCTATTTCTAGCCCCTATCTTACAGAGAAGGAAACTTAGACGCAGGAGGAGGAGGAGAGTGGCAGGGTTGGAGTTTGAGCCCAGGACAAGCTGCCTGCAAGCCCACATTCTCAGGCACCCTGAACACACTGTCACAGGCCACCTCTCTTCCCGCCACAGTCTCGTGGGGATGGCGGGCAAGGGGGCTGGAGGAAGGTCTGCCCTGGGCCGACACACAGGACCAGAGGTAATAACTGGGTGCAGCATTCTCGCTCTCACTCACGTGGAGCCCAGAGGAGAGACTTTCCTGCAACTCCACGGCCTACAAGAGAACGACCGCGGCCAGATCAGGAAGCTCAGAGGCATCTCTTCATCTAACGAAGAGCTAAGCAGCAACCACTCTCTTAGGATCCTTTAGGCACTGGGAAGGGAAGGCAGAAGTGGTCCCCACCCTTGTGGCAGGGATGCTCCAGCAGAAGGAGAAACACACTGAACGAGTAAGCAGCCAGCCGGCCCCAGCCCGCCGCAGGAGTTGGAAGGGAACGAACGGGGCACAGTCGCAGAGGCTCTGCAGACGGGCCCCAGGGAGGCCTCCGTGCGGAGAGGAGGAGTTGGGGTAAGAGTGGAGCCTCCCAGAGCGGGAGGCAGAGGGCAGGTGCTCTGGGCAGACTACGCTGAGCCCAAGTGTGGAGGAATCACCGAGAAGCCGTCACCTGAAGCTCCCGTGATGTCAGAACACTGTTCATCTGGCCGGATTTCAAGCCTCACAGAGTGGGCAGAGTCGTCAGATATCCATTGCAGCTGACATGTAACCATCTCTACAAATCTCAGTTTTGCTTGAAGGGCTTACACACATGAACAATTAAGCACGCAGAAGCAAGTGAAGACGAAGCCGGAGGAGACGTGATTTCTTCAAAGGAGGAGAGATACAGGCAAGACACCTGACTCAAGCAAGCTCTTTTCCTTCATAGAAGTCAGTGGCTTGGGGCTGGGGTTCCGACTCTAATTAACGCCCGCACAGCCTCTGCACCAACCTTGTCAGCAACTCCCCAAAACAGAACCCCGTGCCGGCACAGTGCAGCTGGCCGGAGGTGACAACAGGCCAGGGAACGAGTATGAGTCACTGGCACTCTGTGACTTTCCACGTTCTGTGTTCAAGAGGACAGCTGGAGCTCAGAAGAATGGCAAGCCACTTCCGTCCTGAGAAAACAGCAACCAGACCTCTGGGGGGAGAACTCTGCTGGGATTCAGACAATGTTTTTAAGACAGGAAGTACTACTCTCTCACTTAGGTACCGAGATGGTGTTCGCCTTCCAGGGCGTCCACTGTGGGTGGCGCAGTGAATCAAGGACAGAGTCTGGATCCTGGAAATTACTCCGGACTCTACACAAGCCACTGCCCCTCCCCAGGACTCTGGTTCCCTCATCTGAGGATGACCAGGCGAGATCACAGCTCAAGCTTCCCCTTTCAGCTCAGAGACTGCCTAACAAAATAAGGAGAACAACACCCAGCCCCTCGCCAGACTGTCAGGACTAAATGAGGAACACCCCAGCCGTGCTGGGCAGAGCGCCTGCCACAGGGAGAGTGCTCAGTGAAATTCCCTGACGATGATGGCGGCGGCAGCCACGGTGGGGGCGGCGGCGATGAGGTCCATCACCTAAACCCACCTCCTTCTCATGAAGAACACCACTCGCTTTCCATGCCCCAAGTCCCATGAAGGTGGCCCTTCAGAGCACCCGGCACCATTTGATATTGCGTGCCTGCCTGGTGCCTTTCCCCACCACCGCACACCGCCAACACAGCAGCCACACCTGCATTTACTCTCCACTGCACACGGCACACACAGCGTGCAGCAGGCGCACAACAGGCGCTCACCTGCTTTTTAATGAATGAACTGTGTGTATCGGAGAGAACGGCTAACATCAAATGACTTTACGACAGACCACGTTCTAAGCGCTTTAGATGAGCTCACTCATTTCTTCCTCATAACTGTAGTGTAAGTGCTACCACTAACCCCATTTCTCAGCTCAGGAAACAGGCATAGAGAGCATCAGTAGCCTCCCCGCGTTAACAGACAAGCGGCCCGAGTGGGATCTGGACTCAAGCAGCCTAGCCCTACGGCCCGCCCTTAACCACTTTCTGCCGTGTCTGTTCCTCTTCCACTGCAGATCCCAGCTTCAGCGGTGGGAAAAATAAACTCCCCCAAACTCAGAAATCTAAACACAGGGCCACGGCTACGCCAAGCTCCCGGGTCCACCCTACCCTAGAGCAGCCACATTAGCACAAGAACTCTCCTCGCCCCCAGCACTCCAACTTCTGCTTCCTGCAAGTAGCAACAGGTTGTTAATAGCAACCGAAGCAGCACCAGTGCAGAGGGGAGGAGGAAGGGTAATTTTAGCAGCACGGGGCAAAGTTCAGAGACTGCCACTTGGCCACCACAGAGCACTGGCTGGCTCCTAGCTGTTGTAGAGTCCGCTCCCTAGGTCGCCTAGTGAAGGCGCTGCTGTTTGTTTTCTTTCAAATGTACGTAAGGCTGTGATATCACAGTACGGGTGTCGGGGGATGGGGTGGGGAGGAACAGGTGCACTGAAAACAAGAAAAAATGAGAAATCATCCCCAACGTCATCACACTGTTCATTCTTCAACGGGAATGAGAGGACAGAAGGGAAACCTGTTCTGCTGAGTGATGATTTTATTTGAACTTTTTTATCCTTGTATTTCTCACCATCTCTAGTCCCCAGAAAAGTACCCGCTCCTGTCATTACAATCACTGGTATTAACCCAAAAGGAGCCAAATCAGACTTCAGCTCCTCCTCTGTGGTAACCGTGGTTACTCTCAAATCAGCGCCCAGGGAAGAGGCCGGAGTGAGAGGCATCTGTGCTCAGAGGCAGCTGACTCCTGGAAAGATGACTCAATCACTGGGCCTGCTGGGCCACTGCCTCTTCAGATCCTCCAGCCGCCTGCGTGTGTGCGCAGGAGTGGGAGGCCCCGAGGCCACTAAGGAGAAGGTGTTCTTCGGGTCTGCGGTGGCGGCGAGAACTCAGGGAGGGGCACTCAGGGCATTTTCTCATCTATCACTGGATTTGTTCAAAGTCTTGGACAAAATCTTAATGGCATAAGACTTCCTTTGAATTATATATTCCTTAACCTTTGATACAAGACCAAAGAGCTCCAATTTACTCATAAATGGAAACTGTAAAATCGGTAGGAAAGTGCTATAAAACTGGAAGAAGAACCCTTGCCGGGGTCCCGCCATTCCTCTGAAAACCTCTGACTGAACTGAACGTCTCCTTCCCACCTTCATCGTATTCGTTTTCAGAAAGCAGACGAACTTGGCTGGGGGTTGGGGGGAGACCCCACTTTGCTACATTTCGGCTAGTTTTTCCCACCTACAGGCAGGCACCCCTCAAGGCCATTTCACCACTGAGTAAAAACCCTTACCTTCTCAAGTAAAAGGGGGACGTTGCCCAAAATGCCCTGCAGGTGGTGCAAGGGGCCCGCGGCCGAATGACTCACGGTTCTGGGGGTGGGGAGAGTGGGGAGACGGGAAGAAAATCTTGAAAGTCCTTTTGCCTTCATTGATTCCAATGAAAACATCTTCCCTGTAGGTGGCCTCTAACACGCTACTGAAGGTCACTCTGGCTAGAGTTTCCTAGTGATTTATCACAGGGCAGGGGACCCCAGAGAATCCATCTTTGAAAAATGAATAAAATTCTCTTCCTGGTTTTTCAGTAACTGGTTAGAATCAGCCATGTTTCAGCTACAGCCCCTCCAGGTCAGCGGTAACAAATGCTGGCCTCTGGGTTGAGGCAGTACCGCTTTTTGACGTGCACAACATGTAATATGTATTTTTAAATTATTTGCCAGCATATTTTTTTAAAATCAGGAGATTTCCTATAAAACTCTGACTTTTCAGTTTCTCTTGAAAAAATTTAAAGATCTAACCACAGAGGGCTCATTTTCACACTCAGCAAAAGTGGGCTAAGAGGAGGGTCCCCATGCCCGCAGGACCCAATTTGCAACCCCTGTCCTAGGCTCTGAGTCCTGGACCTCCACAATCAAAATAGTCCCACATTGCCCAAGCACACGGGTATCTACTCCCACAAAGGAGGTGCGCCTTCTACACTTGGATGATTTATGAACTAGCACAACACGATCAGAAATCAAAACACTAGAATGACTGCTCTGGGGCTGACCCTCAGCCTTACTTCAGACCCTTGTGAAGAACAGATGGGCTGGGCTCTAAGCTTATCTACCCAAGATTCTCTGAAGATGATGGGCTTGGATATTCTGAAGGTTTTCTGAAGAAGACGGTATGTTTTCCAAACCTCCTGCCCTAAAATCCAAAAACAAGGCTTGCGAAATTCTCACCTTGGCAGCGCCAATCTGCTCCTTTCGAAACTTCTCCAAGGGAGTGATGAGCACTTCGCTGGCATTCTCAATCTGGAGAGGAAATGTGGGGCGGGGTTGGGGGGGGAACGACACAAAAGCAGGATCAGTAGAGAGTCAGGGCAGCCCTGGCCACAGAAGGCCTCCCCGCACCCCAAGTATAAGATCAGAGTCAGCAGCATGGTGCTCGTATCAACTGTTCACAGCCCTTGAGCCAGCAATGCACCAAACCAAAATCGAGTCATCGGTTCAAATGATACTCTTCCTGCGCGTGATTAAGATAGCATTCTTTAAAAATAAAAACGAGGACCTCTAAAAATGTAAGCAACCACACGGAAGGCAGAGTGGAACTAGTGACAGAGTAGGGGCTAAATTTTGAGTTTCAGGTGACATCCTATAAATGCTCATTCACCCAAGTTATATTTAAGTAGATGAATTTAAAGTAGCTCAACACTGAGTCTAAATTAAACAAACCCCACTCTCCCACCCCCACCAAAAAAAAAAACCTCACCTTTGGTGACATGAAAGCCACCAAGGCCTGGTTCTGTGTAGCCTGGCCAGCTCTAGTCTGGGCTCAGGGTATCGTGCCTCCTGCCACTGGCTGCCTTTCAACTTCATCTCACAGCACTCAGCCCCTCAGGTCCTGCCCCCAACTACCCCGTCACCTGCAGGCACCTGGCCCACTCCCAAGCCTCTGCATTTAGCTGTTCCCTCAGGTGCTCTGTCCCCAAATCCTCGTATGGACAACTTATTATTTTTGGTAACCCAGGTTTCAGCTTAAAGGTCACCATTTTTTGGAGGCGGGGGGGGGCCTTCTCTGACCACCAATGCACTCCAGAGAAACTTTCCACCACCCCACCAAGTGTTTTCTTCAGAAGATGTAAGCCGGCTGAAGTTTTCTGGTTCACCATTACAACATGCGTGCTTAAACACACACAAACACACACACACACACACACACGCCCTACTCATTTGAAAATGCTCACTTGTCTACCACTATCCCCAAAATACAGAGGAGAGCTGAAACAAAGAAGCACTCAAACATTTTTCAACAACCAAATGAATGAAAGAATGATTTCTTGATTGGCTGCCAACTGTGTAACCATGGGCAAAACATTTAACCTCTCTGGGCCCTAATTTCCTCATCTGCAAAATGAGTGGGCTGGATTGTTCCAGCTCTAAGACTCTATGGTCTTTCCTAAGGCAGCACAATATTTTACAATCTTTCCTTTTCAGTCATTCATTGCTCACTTGTCGCTTAACTAATTATTTCAGGAATCTTGTCGCAACAAAGCATTATTTTTCCAAGTCACATGTCTATCTATCGCAATGAAACCAGCAGAGTAAATGCCAGAAGCCAGAGATGGACACAGCAAAGAACTAACTGGACATATGAGGGGTAGAGGGTGGCAGGTGGGTTTCCAAATTTGTTGCCTTTCACCTTTTTCATAATTTTGAGAGCCCTTATTCTAGAAAAGAGCATTTTAACACTCAAGTGTTGCAAAGTCGTTCAACTTGTTTGATTTTTATTGTTATTTGATGTTGTTTAACTGGTTCACTTACTTCCTTCTTTTCTACAAATCAAGTGTGAGTCTGAAACTCACAGTAGTGTGCTGAGCCTCTAAGCCAGGGGCTCTCAACATCAGCTGAAGGTTAGGCTCACCTGGGAAGCTTTTAGAAATCCCAGCATCCAGGCTACACTCCAGACCAATGAATCAGAATCTCTATACTTAACATCCCAGGCATCGGTATTTTATAAACTCCCCAGGTCGTTACAATGGGCATCCAGGGGTGAGAATCCAGCCCTAGCCGGATGCTAAATATACAAAAGCGCTAACTGCCCACCTGGGAATCCAGACACCCAAGCCCTCGCTCCAGTCCTGCAACTGCATGCTATCAGCCTTCGTGAGACCTCACTTCTCCTGTCAAATAAGAGGCTGCAGACGGAGAGGAATGAAGTCCATCTGGAACTAAGTTTCTTGGACTTTGTAACTTCCACTTAGTTCCAAGCACTGTGCTGATACTGCGCGCACAGCAGCCCATTCCCTGCCCTTCAAGAACTCATATTTCCCATGGGACACAGACACATGAAGTGATTATCAGGACACAGTGTGATCAATGCAGAATTAATTCAAGCCTTTTAAGTTATTCATGTAAGTCTTGAATTGACTTAAGAGGCTTGAATTGGATGTTCAGAAAATACAAAGAATGGTCAAATATCTCAGGGAGTCAGGGAAGGCTTCCCAAAGAAGGTACAACTGTTCAGGGCTGAGCTGAATTGATGATGAAGCTGTCACAGGGTGAGGAGGTAGGGAAGGGGCTTGCGAAGGCCAGATACTCAGATGCAGAGTAGAAACCCGATTTACTGACGTTAATAATAAAATCGCAGAGGCAAGCTGAAAAGTACAATCCAGTCATTGTTCCCTCACCCAGACCATAGCAATCTGCAGGGTATTCTTGGTGATTTGCTCACCACACCCCACCACCCTCAAATAATAACTCCGCCAAGAATCAGACTCGAAAGAATCATTTCCCTTTCTTAGGCACCAGCACGCGCACAAACACACAAGCCTTCCTCTGCCTCCGCCCACCACCAGCCCTGCTGCTGTCGCAGCCACCCTCCTGATTCTGATTCAAGCACCCAGCAGTGAGCAACCAAGGCACACAGTGTCTCCCTCTGCGAGGAGGAAGGGGAGAGGCTTTTGCTCCGGTTGGACTTTTAAAGAAATGCCCACATTCTTTGCATATCACACACATTTGGGTTTGAATTCAGACTGTGCCACTTATTAACTGTGTGATCCTGGGTGTGTTACTCAACAGCTATAAACCCAAGTGTCTTCACCTGGACCATGGGGATGATACAGGCACCACTTCAGAGTCATCATGAGAGTCAGATGGCGCATGGCTGAATGTCTTGGTCGAGGCTAAGGACTGAATGGCATCCCCTCCAAAATTCATATACTGAAGCCCTAACCCCTGTTAAATTAAACAAGGAGGCCATGAGGTTGAGGTGGCTCTAATGGCTTAGCAGCCTATCTAAGCAAAACAAAGCCGAAGGCTGTAAATCACACACGGTCAAGACGTTGAAACCTGACAACCAATCACAAACAACTAGACTTTCCCAAATAAGGCAACCGCTTAAGCTGTCTCCGATCAGATCGTCTCCTTGCTTTGCTCCCACGGCTGCTCTGTAAAAAGCCTCCACGCTGACTCCTGTTGGTGGAGTGCTCCTACCCACACTTCCAGGTCGGGGCTGCTGCCCAATTCGAATCAAAATTTAACACGCCTCAGCTTATCTTTTAGCACCCTCAATAGGATGATCAGGTCATAAGGGTGGAATCCTCATGACGGGACTGGGGCCCTTACAAGAACAGAGAGGAGAGCGCCCTGACCCTCTCTCTGCCCTGGGAGGAAACAGCAAGGAGGTGGCGGTCTGCAAGCCAGGAAGAGGGGCCCTCACCAGGAACCAGATCAGCAACCGTGAAAAATAAATGTTGGTTGTTTAAGCCCCCCAGTCCCTGGTGTTTTGTTATTGCAGCCTGGGCAGACTTAGGCAGCAGACTTAGTCCTGAAACTACCGGCCGTTAGTATGGGAGGAGAAGAAAAATGCTCACTGATGGACTCTTCCCTACGCCTCTGGAGCACCACTGCCTAGAGACAAGCCCACCTCGGGACAAGTCAGCATGAAGCTTCGAGGATGCAAAAGAACTGCCTGTGGATGTAAAATCCTTCATCTGTCAATGCTGAACCACATCTAGCACAAAGATATATCTTAAGAACCTGGAGATCAGCATTTGGTTCTTGAATGTGCGCAGTGCCTCTCTGAAGAACTTCGTGTATTTACCATCATTTACTAAGTGCCCACTGACTGGGTGCCTACTAACATGGCAGGCACTGTGTTAGGTGCTTTGGAATGAAAAACGGGGACGTGCTCTTGGATGGGTTTAATAAAGTGAGGAGAAGGGGAGCCGAGTGGGGCTCCTTCATTTCCAATCTGCCAGCAGGGAATCTGAGGCTCCCAAAAGGTAAACAATTCCAAGGACCCACCCTAAGTCATACACTTTTACATATACACCCTATTGTGAATCTTCAAGGGGACAACAATGTGGTTCTCAAGTTATCCAGGGTAACCCTTTAACATGTACGTGAGACCCTGCCAGGATGCCAGATGCGGCTTGCTCAAGAGTCCAAAGCTGCAAGTGGCAGAGTCTGGACTCAAACCCTGTTCTTCTGACAACAAATCCTGTGCTGCCTTGAGGCAACCGCGCTGTCCAGGACCCAGGGCAGCCCAGCCATACTCACCATCCGTATCCGCTCATCTTCAAGATTCCTGAGGACAGTAGCAAATTCCTGCAAAGACCTTGCTGGAAAAGAGAAAGGGGCCATGAGGTGGAAGAAAGAGCAACGGACCTTTGGGAACCCGTCCAGATACAGCCATTACCTTATGGACTGGAACCCCTGGGCATACGCAGAAACCTAAAGACAACCCTTTGCAAAGCTTCCCTTAGCTTTTAATCATTAACCATGAAGGAAGACCCAGGAATGCAGGATAATCCACCGGGCACTCTAGCTAGGGAAGGGCTTCCTTCAAGGAAAAGATCTGCCTGTTGCTGAGAATACCCAGGACTGATGGGATGTTGGCCGGCTCCCAGGCTCAGGGCCGGACCGGGTAGAGTTCCTCTTAGGAGATGAAGAATTTCCTGCCCAGGATTCGACCTCCTCAACCTTTGTTGTAGGGCTGCGTCAGAACCCAGCCTTTTCTTGGCACCCATGTTAAACCAACAACGTTGCTGGCATGGGAAGCCAGCCCTCTGGCTTCTCCTTGGGTTCCTCCTCCCTGCATCCTCAAGCCCTTTAGTACTGCACCATAGCTGGCAGCAAGGCAGCCACACGTGGACAGACTCCTTCACCAGAATTATTCCCAAGGGCAATGGGCATCAAGTGCAAGAGCCCTGAGGACACTCAAGACATTCCTGTCATGTTGGGAAAAGCATCCATATGTTCAGGAGTTACAACTGTCTCCCGGTCACCTGATCCTGACGCTCTGCATGGCAACAGGGACTCCACAGGCATCATTAATTTGGTGACGTCATTAGTTCAGTGTAACTTTCTCAACTCTTGCTCTTTTAATAATGGAGTCAACCAAGATGCCCAATGGAAGAAGAAGAAGGTGCGGTGACTAGGCCCTGGCAAAAACAGCTGTCCTGACGTTGCAAATCCTCTGTACTCAATGTTGCCCACAGAAGAGACGGGATGGTGAAGGGTGACGCAGCACAGCGAGGTGATGAATGGTGACCCCACTCTCAGCCTCTTGTTAAGGAGACAAAGGAAGAGGTGGGGCCCTGGTGAGCTGGACCTTGAGCTCCTCTCCCATCCAAAGGCAGCAGTGGCCACAGAGCTCCAGCCAACTGTTGCCAGGCCAGAATGTGGGGCCAGCTGATCAGACTCCCCAATTCACAAAGAACCTGGAAACCTGGAACTTTCCATAAGTTCAATGTATGTGTTAATGCAATGAAAAAAAAGAATGAGTGCCAAAGAAAACACAGCTCATGAGGACCTCAGCCCACAAGCTATCACTTGCAACCTCTGATCTAATTCTTCCCCTCACCATCCCCCATGTACTCATGTTCTGCATGTGTTCTAATTCTAAAGTACTGTGGTTGGGGGAGAGAATGCTACAAAACCAGCCAGAAGCAGAATGCTACAGACGGGTGGAGAGAAGGGCCCCAGTGCAAGCCTTCAAGCTTTCTCCTGCAGGCTGGAGGGTGACAGAGGCAACCCCAGGACTCTGAGTAGGAGGCCAGGAGAGCCCCGGGCCCCTGACCCTCAGTGAACTCGGCCCCCTCCACTGTTACTATGGACTTCTTCATTTATGACACTTACATACATCCTATTGTAGGGGAAAGGCTCAGCGAGGACACAAAGTTGTGGTAAATGGTGCACTTTTTTTTAAATCTTGCACATGGTTACAACTTACCTATACACATTTCATCATCTGTTTCTGCATCTCCTATGCACTGAAATTTAAATTCATTTAGGGAATCTGCAAATTTCCGCTTCGCTGAAGACAAATCTAGCAAGAAAAAAGAGTAAAAAACACGAATTACTGAAATAAACTGGCTTTCACATTTGCTGCACTTTTTAGCCCTTCTACTAACACAGTCGCTGGCAGACTTGTTCCCAAGTCCATCTCAAAGCACAAAAGAATGTAAACTCTAAACAGTAAATACTCGTTTATAACAATGAAATAGCTGACGTGCTTTAGAAGTTAGTATTTTTATCACACGTGCTTTAACAGTTCTGGTCCTCTCTAATTCCTCAACCAGCCCTGCCATGTCCATCTCACACTGGTGGGAATCCACTTGCTTAAGCAGGTGGGGGAAGAAGCGGCGGGCGGAGCCCACATGAACATTTGCAGCCCCAGGGGTCAGCTCTGCTGCTGACCCTCCGAGTGAAGCTGCCCCCATGTCAGACTCACATGACAAACTGGTCTGAGGTGGGGGGTATGGAACTGTCTGGGTGGCACAGGAGCACCCGGATTTCCTCTTCCAACTCAAGCCCGTGTGAGGCCCGAGTGCTCAGAACGCCCTAGGCCCCCAGCGGACAAATCTCCGCCTGAACCACTTCCCTGGGTCGCCTCGTTTCACCAGCGCCACGAGAACAAAGCCCTGGCAACGTTTTGCGTTGGGGTAAAAACACACCCCACACATGGTATCTATAAAGAAAGCTCTCTCAGAGGCCCTTGTCAAATTTAAAAAATAAGCTTTCATTTAAGACAGTAATAAAAGCCAATGATCCTTCCTGAACCCTCAGCTTCTGTTAAGGGTATAAACCACCAAGGTACCTTTAAGTGGCCTGACAGGCACAGCTGCTCGGCCCAAATGTGCTTAACTTAATTCCACGTGCAGCCTTCCTGCAGATTAAGCTAATCATTCAAATTACCCCCGTACATGTTTCCCTCATTGAAGGGGAAATGGCATTATGTCCAAATTCCCAGAGGAGGGAAATATGACGCATAACTGGCAACGAGGTCTGGCTTTAATAAGATCCTGGGGAGAGTGGGGTCAGGGATTCTGGCTTCACAGATCAACACAGCCTCTTGGAATAAAAGCACCCATGACCCTGCATTCTTCCCTTTTTTAGTTTCCAGATTTGTCCCTTGAGGTTAGGGGGGCACATTTTGTTATTCTCTTGGTTTGGGCTGTTTGTTTCTTCTCCATGTACCTGGCAGTGTGTTGTGCTCCACGTGTGCTGAATAATGAGGGGGTGGGTAGGGGGGCAGGCGCTGTATACAAATCCAACCCCCACTGTTCAGTTCACCAATCCCAGTGTTCACTCCAAGCAACGGTGCCAGTGTGAGAACCAGACGGGGCTGACCTGCTGCTCTCGGGTCTAGGGCTCTGAAAAATGCATGGATACCAGAGGCTCCCGCTCCGGGACCACTCTCCCAAACTGAGCTCGGATGACGTGGGTCCCGAGGTAGTTATGGCTTGTACGAGGCCCTCTGTTAGACAGCAGAAGAGGAAGGCACTTGTGGAGAAGAACACAGGGGTCTCCGGTCCCTCCCTGGTTCGGTCACTTTAATGGAACGGTGCTTGGCAAAAAAGTCCCAAGATGCTGGCAGGGAAAGTAGGCATCTCTTAAAACTGGCCAACCCAGGCTGAGGAGCTCCCTGAGAACACAAACCACTCCCTGGCAAGTCAAGAAAGAAGCAGATGCATCTGAAGGTCAGAACACTGTGGGGAGGAAGGGCAGGGGCGGCCACGGGCAGGCAGGAAGAAAACAAGGAAGAATGCTCTTTCCGAATAGAAGAGGGCGCCTTCCGAGAGGCCCAGAGCGTGCAGCGCCTGGAATGCGGGCGGGTGGTACTCAGCCTCGGCTTTGTCAGAATGTTCCTCAGATCAGAACTCACAGAGGAAGGCCTAAGCAAGCGGTAAGCACAGGACAGCTTCTCAGTTCACCCGGCAACCCTGCGGGGCCTCCCCAATAGGGCAAGAGAGACTCAAGCTGAACCAGCTTCTTAACAAAGCGGAAAAAAGGAGAAACGTCACCCATGCTCAGGCGCACACCTGAACAGCGGCGCTGCCAGCAGCAGCTGCCAAGGAGGAGCGAGGCGTGGCTACTAACACACGACAGGACCCCTGTGGGCCTTCCACGGGAGCCTCCGGTAACCAGGGGCAGGCCGGCTAGCTATGACCAGGAGGTAAGCCGACGTCCCCATCCGCAGGCCCGCAGCACACCCCACCACGGCAGCAGCTGAGAAGCGATGAGGGCCCCACGAAGCTGATAAGGAGGCCGGTCCCCTGGATGGGAGATGAGGTAATGAGTCCTGGTGTGGAGTCAGTACTGGGCTGCGGGCCAGGGAGCACAGCTGGGTAGAGTGAGACTCCCAGTTCCCGGAACCTGGAAAGGATCTCACCACGGGCTTGAATGGCGCACGGGAGGGAGATCTCAGGGTAAAAGTACAGAGGATGCCGGTTGTTTTCTTGTTTAGCATCTACACCCTAGTCTTTGGAACAGCATCTCCAGCTTGCTCTGGAGAACCTCCCTTCTCCATGTGTGTTGCACGACGGGGGTGGGTGGGGGCTGGTTCTACACTGATCAACTCCTTCTGCAGCCCCCTGCCCTCACCCTAACCTCCACGGGCTCCCGGGTTCAAGTTCCAACTCCTTCATTCACCAGAGAATTAACAAACCTGGGGGCTGTCACAGAGTCTGTGCCATCTCACCTCACTCAGAAGCTGTCGGCCTCTGAGTGAGGAGACCTACTGAAGCTGCCGAGCTGTCAGGAGATCCAGCAGGACACACCAAGAGCTCTGTGCACTGTCAGCCTCAGCTGGGCTCCTCCTCCTCAATATGTGAGTCCTCGAGTGGCAGGCCCCAGGGAAGGTGAGCATGACTCCCTGTACTGAGCTCAGAGAAGCCAAGAGCACACAACCAATTGATCGATCGATCAATCAATATTAAATTAAATTAAAAAGACCAAAAGACAAAAACAAAAACCAGTACACAACCTCTAGAAGTGGATCTGTGACTCGACTGAGTTCTCAGACCTGAGATGCTCCTTTGTCACACGATGCTGCCTGACACCATGAAGACAGACTCCCCTCTGTTACTTGGGACAACGGAGAGGACATCAAAAAGAGAACATCCCCAAAGCCACTGCTTCTTGGCTACTTCCACCCAAAAAGACTGCTGGCCTCTTACGTAGGTGATTAGTGTGGATGTGCAGCTGCACAGAGATCTCCTTCTGGAGCCTTCACTGTGATGCACACAGGAACCTCACACGCACATTCCAGGAAGAGGAGAGAGGAAGGCGGGGAGGCTGGTGCCGGCGCTGGGTGCACGCCAAGCTCCGTGGCACCCTGCTCGTATAACCCCATGGTTCCGTGTTCAGGCAGTGCAAGACACAGCTCGGAGCCAAGCAGCGTCAATAATATTTACTTTGCAGAAACATCTGTTGCTCGAAAGGCAGAATGCTGGCCAGAGCAGAGCAAAGGCGTAACTGGCAGCCTCTGGGGAGGACAAGTCTCCGCTTTACAGAGCAAGCAGGCTCTGCCTCTGAGTGGGGAGACCAGGCAGGTAAGGGAGATGGAAGCAGCCGGAGGCCTGGGCCCTGATGGGCTGTTCCTACAGCTGCCTGCTCCCTCCGGGACCAGGGAAAAGTGCCCTTCTCTTCTGGGAGATACTGTGCTCTGCCACAGCAGGTACTAACCTGCAGAGTTTATGAGAATAAGCCAGGTATAATTCTTTCTTTCACCAAAACAGAAGGTTTACCCTCATTTTTTAAAAGCTAGAATCTACCTTGATTTATTTAAGTTTTACTAGTAATACTGAAAGACAAGCCC